CTCTCCCTTCAGTCTTCCTGCTTATGAGCGGGAGTGTGCCTACCCAATTCTCTACCCCCAACCCCCAGCCAGGCTGATACCAGGAGGGTAGGGGAGCCGTCTGAATTTGAGGTAATACCTGGGCTTCCCCCAAATTCAGGCAGTTTGGCTGGGGCCGGGTTCAAACCTGCTACCCTCAGTATATGGGACTGGCGCCCTACCCACTGAGCCACAGGCGCCGCCCACCAGTAAAAATCTTGATTCTTTGGCCGGTGCCTGTGGCTCAGTGAGTAGGGTGCTGGCCCCATATACTGAGGGTGGCGGGTGTGAACCTGACTCCATATACCGAGGGTGGCGGGTTCCAACCTGGCCCAGGCCAAACTGCAACAAAAAATAGCCGAGCATTGTGGCGGGCACCTGTAGTCCCAGCTACTCAGGAGGCTGAGGCAAGGGAATCACCTAAGTCCAGGAGTTGGAGGTGATTGTGAGCAGTGATGCCACTGCACTATACCGAGGGCGACAAAGTGGACTCTGTATCTAAAAAAAAAAAAATCTTGATTCATGGCTGGGCACCTGTAGCACAGTGGTTTCAGCGCCAGCCACATGCACCGAGGCTGGTGGGTTTGCGTCCGGCCCTGGGCCAGCTAACCACCAATGACAACTGCAACAACAAAAAAATAGCCAGGCGGCACTTGTGGCTCAATGGGTAGGGCGCTTGTGGCTCAGTGGGTGGGGTGCTGGCCCCATATACTGAGGGTGGCAGGTTCAAACCTAGCCCCAGCCAAACAGCAACAAAAACATAGCCAGGCGTTGTGGCAGGCACCTGTGGGCCCAGCTACTTAAGAGGCTGAGGCAAGAGAATAGCTTAAGGTTGTGAGCTGTGATGCCACAACATTCTACTGAGGGCAACATAGTGGGACTGTCTCAAAAAATAATAATTCTTGATCCATTATAAAATCATTGTTGAAATGTTTCACAGCATAGTTCTGGGGACAATTTATCAGTGTTTGCCAAGATGTTAAATGCAAATATCTCTTGGTTCATCAATTCTACCTTGAGATACTTATCTCAAAGACCTACACATGCCTGAGAGAAATGTGTGCAGATATTCAAGGCAGTGTTAGTAAAAAACAGGAGAAAATCTGAATGTTCACCAGTAAGAGAATGGTTAAATGTATTATGGAGCATCACACTATGGAATGTTACTTACGTGACTAAATTATGTGATTCTTTCCGCTGATTTTCTACTACTAGATTCCACCATCTCCATATACTCTTGCCCACCATTCATCATACTCACAGGTTATCTTATTAAGACTTGTTAACTCTTTTCAGTGGGCATTCAATACTTGCAACTACAGTAGAACCTCCACAGCTGACCAGCTCCCTACATTGACCACCTCAAGTTGACCTAATTTCCAAAGACTGGACATATACCACATGTACTTATCAGTACCGTAAGTCTAGTTTCTTACATTGACCAGTTTGTTACAGTCCCTTGGGTGGTCAATTTACAGAGATTTTTTTGTATTTAGAAGGTCCAAACCAATGGGTAGGCCTAAAGGCAAGTGATTACATTTCCTCTTGGTAGGTATGATCTATTCCAGACTGATACTCATAGGAATATAAGCATTATATTCTGCAATGAAGCATATTTAATTATGCTTGTGCTATTCCATGTTCTGTGGTATATTTCTCTGGCATGATGGATAGTCAAATAGCAACAATCCTAGAACAGCAACATTTTGCCTCACTACTCTAGGGAGCAACTTGGCTGAGACCCAGGGAATTTCCCAAGTTGTGGCCAGTGTTAGCACTGCTTTAGTATTAGAAAGGGACAAGAAATGAACTACCTTCCACCTTTTGTGAGACAGCCACTCAAACCATTTTCTGGCTCTTATCTAGTTTTAAAAGGCATTCAATAATGCCCCAAACCCCAGCACTTTGGGAGGCTGGGGCAGGATGATTGCTTAAGGCCATGTGTTCAAGATCAACCTGGGAAAAAGGCATTCCATTAATACAAAAAATAAAAAAATTAGCTAGGCATGGTGGCACATGTCTGTAGTCCTAGCTACTCGAGAGGCTGGGGTGGGAGAATTACTTGAGCCCAGGAGTTGAAAGATGCAGTGAGCTGATTGTGCCAACTGCCCTCCACCCTGGGCAAAGAGACCTCTTTAAAAAAAGAAAAAAAGGCATTTCAAGTGAAACTTGAAAATGACATAAAGCACAATTATAAAAAGTAAATTTAAATTAACTATCATCACAATCCCTGATTAAGAAAACAGCCCAGTTAATGACCAATGGTTCACACTTAAGCAACAGTGGAGTCTAAGAGTAAGCTGTGTTTGATTTGTGTAAATTTGCAGTGGTATCATACCATTCTATGCAAAAGTGCCTGACTGGTACTGAAAACTAACTCTGAACCTTCACACAGGCAAATTAGGAAATTGGATTATTTTAGTTAAATTTTAATTGGCATGCTATGTGCCAATTTTAAAATGCAAAAAAAAAAACCCACTAAAATTTATACTGCTTAAATTTAAGAAAAATCTTAAAAAGTGTATCACCTCCAGTTATTAACAGATCTTACATAGTTATATAAGTAAATGCCTCTCACCTTCATTAACTTAACTTTTACATTATCTAACTTCCAAAGGGATACTGATAGAACCCTAAACCAAACTATATCAGTTTTCAGAATGAAGAGTATTTTTGACCATTTTTTCCTGTATCTGCGATTAAATAACTGTTCTAAAAATACTTTGTTCCTATTCTCAACATTTCAAAAATGGTGGCTCAGCACCTGTAGCTCAAGCTAAGGCGCCAGCCATGTACACCAGAGATGGCAGGTTCGAATCCAGCCCCAGACTGCCAAACGATGACAACTACAACCAAAAAATAGCCGAGCATTGTGGTGGGCGCCTTTAGTTCCAGCTACTTGGGAGGCTGAGGCAAGAGAATCGCTTGCCCAACAGTTTGAAGTTGCTGTGAGCTGAGAAGTCATAGCACTCTACCCAAGGAGAAAGCTTGAGGCTCTTGTCTCCAAAAAAAAAAAAAAAAAAAAACAAAAAGGTAGTTGTCATGACACACCTACTAAAGTTACAAAGACAGTTCCTTGAGCCAAAATTCATTTTTAAATAGATCAGACTTACTAATGTTGACAATG